GTCTGGTGCAAGCCCAGGTTCTCCTCTTTGGCTTGGGCGAGTTTTTCTAGGAAGAAAGAAAAACCAAGACTTAAACCACGTTATTTTCTCTTTAAATAACCCCGTGGTTACTTACCTTCGCGTTTGGGACACCGCTGTAACTGCATTCACAAAATGGCCCAGTTTCTTTGGTTAACTGCTCTGTCAGTGAGGTTTTTGGACATGTCTTACATGTCATGTGCCATATTTAACATGTAATTTACATCCTTCAGGGTTTTTGCTGTCCCAGGAGTGTTTAACCCAGCAGACAGAGCACCGCCAGCGCACACTGGACACGCTCAGAGCTTTCTGCTGCTATGTGCATCCACTGAAGTTCAACACGACCCCAGGCGTGGGGTCCTGCCCCGGCACCACCTGCGCGTCCTCGCTGTGAGGAGCTGGTGCCATGTTCAATATCATCGCTGTGGGTTGTAGGAGAGTTCTACAGAAGCAAAGCCCAAAGCTGACAGGTCGAGGTATCTCGGTTTTATTGAGCTCGGTTCTTACAGAGGAGGCGGAAGGGGCGCCTGTGGCGGCTGCACAGAAGGGACAGGTTTTACAGGCAAGAAAAGCGTGAAGAGACGCAAGGGGCAGAGCGGCCCAGCCCGGGTGAAGGTCACAGAGAGGTCATGTCGTTGAGAGCATGGTCAAGCTCCTCGCTGATGGCTTTGTACTTCAGCTTCTGAGCGTAGAGCTCGTCTATCGGCCCCAGGGCAGAAGGCAGGTTGCAGCAAGAAAGGTGGAAGAACAGTCCAGAGAAGAGGCGGACAGCAGAAGATGCGCAGCAGGGAAGTCGAGGCAGCAGAGAAAGAAGTTGGGGAGGGAAACAAGAGAAGGAAAGATGAAGAGCTGAGCGCCAGTATGGAGCAGGGAACCCCCCAGCTGCAGAGCAGGAGCTTCCTCTACGCCTCCCTTTTTTTAACCTTACACAGTCATTTTTCACTTATGGAATGCAGCAGTTTGTGATCCTGTTGCACCAGAAGGGCCCAGGAGCCCCCAGATCTGGGAGTTGGTCAAACCTGGGTCAGTGTTACCAGCTTCTCAAAAGAGAACCTCCATCAGGAGAACTCCCTCTGCCCACGGGCACAGCACTGATGGACATGTGGGGCCTGATGCATTCCACTGTCCTTGCCGCTCCCAAAATTTTGGTTTCTGACTGGAAACTGCCCACTTTTAAAGGAAACTCCAGGAATTTCGTACCTTCCAGGTCATCAATAGACTTTTCCAGTTTGGCAACAGTTCTCTCTGCAAATTCAGCACGAGTTTCAGCCTAGAAAAAATTGAATCAAGTAACTGATGCTGTTAAAACCACGGTGCCAAAATGCAATTTGAGGCTGCACAAACTTACCTCTTTAAGCTTGTCAGAGAGAATCTTGATTTCTTCTTCGTATTTATCTTCTTTTTCCGAGTACTGTGAAAACAATAAACAGTCTTTAAGGGAAGCTGCAGCAACAATAACGCGTGTTTATGAAGCCGTGACCTATTTATAACCACTTTTCCTTTTCCAGCAGTTCCACACTTCCCTCCTCCTCCTAGAGACATTTCAGGCTCCGGATCATAAACCCCCATTTTAAGAAGGGGGATGTCCACGTTCCTTCATGTGTCATCTTGCCCCTTGATAGGCACATGAGCCCGTGCAGCGCAGAAAGAGGTGAACAGGCGAGAGCATGGAGCCTTCCAGAGCCAGGAACAACTGATTCTCGAAATCCAAGTGTTATGAGGAGGGCAAAACCCCCAAAAAGAGCAAGATCAGGAAATCAAGAGCAGCCACTGGCTGTGGGAAAGGACATGTAGGTCCTGGCTCAAAGTTGTGTCACAGAGAATCACCCAATGACTGCCCTGGGTTTGGGCAGTGCAGCCCTTCCACCGCCCCTCTCTTATTTACAAGCTCTGACTTTGCCCCTGTCCCTTCATTTAGTGGCAGAACCCACCTTTTCAGATTGAGCTTCCAAAGACTTCAGGTTATTGGTGACATTCTTTAACTCCTCTTCAAGGTCACTACATTTACTACAGGGAAAAAGAAGAATAAATCACTGTTGTCCCTGTTAGGACCTCACATGATTTTTCAAGAAGTACAAAAATACAAGGGAGGGAGTTATTGTAATCAATAAATCTGAACGGAGAAAACTGGGTGTACGCAGGGTATAAAAGAGCTTTTCTACCCACACGACATGCCTGCCTACCAGGAATAGGTTTTTCTACTAGAATACACTGTGCTCTAAAGCGCTTCCATGTAGATGAAGTTACTCACACTTCAGACACCTCTGCACGCTCTTCAGCTCTTTCCAGTTCACCCTCCAAAATAACCAGTTTACGGGCAACCTGTGAAGAGAAAATGACAGTTCTGGAGCCAGGCTGGAATTTCTTAGGTGTTTCTCCCAAAGCACCATGCTCATCCTTTCCCTCTGACTGAAGAAATTAGGTTAACACCTACATGCACAGCCAGGGCAGCCTTTTCCCCAAGTAAGTTACATTTCTGTGGCGTTTTTAGTATTAAATATCTAAGATGTTCCCTTTTGGGAACGTTCCCAAGTTGAACTATCACACAGTGAGGAGTGTACAAGGAGCGAGTAACGTGAAGAGTAACAAAGCTGTTCCCGGTTCTCCTCTGTGTTTAACCCTTCCCTCAGCCCTTTTACCTCCTCGTATTTGCGGTCAGCCTCTTCGGCGATGTGCTTGGCCTCCTTCAGCTGCATTTCCTGGATTTCCATTTTCTCTTCATCTTTCATTGCTCTGTTCTCAATAACCTTCATTCCTCTGCAGAAGTCAAAGCAAGGGTGTTTAATGGAGAAGCATTTTAGCCCTTTTATTTCAAAGGTCCTATGGTAGAATTCAGTATTTAGACCCAAAATATCCTGTTCTGCCCACACCATCCCATTCCTCAAGGTTAACAGAATTACCTGTTCAAGCTTAGAGGAATAGGTTCGGAGTCGCTGACCTGCCATCCACATTGGCACATGCAGATACTAATTTATACAGGAGTATTTGATTCATATTGTTTTGTTTTACAAGAAAGGAGGAGGAGGAACCGTACCGCTCACTCTCATCCGCTGCCTTCTCAGCCTCCTCCAGCTTCTGCAAGGCTGTGGC